GTCATGACCCAGTAATTGCTGCATGGAATGAACTCCTGTCACTTGCTCCAGCTCCTGCTGACCCAGCAGTTCGAAAGTGAATGGCTGTGAGTAGATAGATGGGTACCATTTTGGTGGGCAGCTTAATGGGGACAAAAAGGAGCCCCCAACTGGGCATCCTCTGGGCAAAGGTGATATCACCAGTTGATCCTTTCACCAAGAGCTTCAATGATTCCAACATAGAAGTAAAGTATAGTATCACTGGTCAATCATTATCTTATTATCTTTGTCTCTTGGGATTTCCTTGTGTGACATATTTAATACAAATTGTAAAATTTGCCCTTGTTCAGAATGCAGCTCTCTTAAGTAATCCATTTAAGTGAATAGATGCACATCATAATTCCTGACTCAGATGTTTATTATTGAATATTAATAAATATTACTAATTTCTTAAATTTAATACATCTACCCACTCCACTGGATTCTCAGCAGTTTATAAAATATTAGATTACAACAATTAAAAACAAACAAAAGAAAGATAGCCCAGAATAAAAACAACCATTAAAACAAAGCACAATTGCTCCAAAAACAACCATATTAATCCCAGAATTGAGAACAAAGCCAGGTTTTAAGGGCTTTTTGGAATCCCAGGAGAGAGGACACCACATGCATCTCTGGGATGCTGTTCTAGAAAGTGGGGGCTGCAACAGAGAAGACACTCCGTAGGTCTTTCAAAATGACAGCCTTGAATAGACAAGACCCAGAATGCACCCACTCTACCTGAATGTATTGGGCTGGCAGAAACAATGGGAGAAAATGGCACCTCGAGTATAATGGGTCCTATGCCATGAATGATGTTAAACATCCAGCTCTTTAAATTGTACCTGGAAGCCAGCTAGGAAAATAAAGACAATATCATGTAAATACAGCAAAATCAGAAAACTCTGTTCCATATTTATTTTGCCAGTTTACTGGAAAAAAAATATTAGTGAGTACTGTAGCACATAGAGGAGAAAAACATATTGCTTTGCAGTTTTATAAACAGTTTTATAGACAATGACCGTGCTTCTCCTCACATAGGAAATGCCATATGTAGCATAAAGCAGAGTCAGGGCACCTTAATCTCCAAAAATGGTGGAAAGACAGATAGATTAAATCTGCCTTAATTCAATGGTCTCAGGCAGGGCAGATATTTTAATCCAGTCACTGCTGGCAAATGCAAATGAAGTAATTGGAAATTGAATGAGTTTGGTAATCATGCATCCTAACACCAGCAAATTGTTGGGGCAAGAAATGACAGCTATGTCATATTTATTTACCAGTAGGCTTAGAAGATCTAACACTTACATTGCCCAATAACAGCAAAAATGGTAATACTACAGGTTAGAAACACTGCTGCTTTTAAAGGCAATATGTATCCCTGTTGAGTAGTTATGCAAATCACATTAATGTGCAAATGAGATTAACAGTTCAAGGCTACGTATAAGCTCAAAGATAAGTCCAGTTATGTTAGAGGGTTCCAAAATTCAGAGCTGCACACATCTTTAAAGGATAAAATTGGCAGAATTCCTAACCTATCTATCAATTTTCTTTTCTTACCTAGGAGCCCTCAGGAGAAGATAGGTTCCTAAAACCCACAAAAGTTTAAGCTTTGCTCTGGATGCACACATACATTACTTAAAAAGAGAAAGAAAAGGCATCCATTCCTAGCCCTATGAAGCTGAAATGATGAAGTGTTGTAACATCATAACTCCATCTTTTCTGTTATCCACAAGTGTGCAAGGGACAAAGTTGTTATTGCAATGTCACAATGCAAGTTTTATTGTGTGCCTCCTCCTTCCTCCTCCCCACTACTGGAGATCCCTATGCCAGTAAGGAAGAATGAGGTATACATAATGTACTAAATTCTAAACCCAGGTTAACACAATTCCTATATCTTATAACAGGCTGAGGCAAGCCATATGGAACTGTCCAGGGCTAGTTTATCTTAACTGTGCCTAATGTTCTGCACATATACAGCCAATACGTTCAGTAGGGCAGACCCATATGGTAGATGAAGTGGACATAGGCTTATCTTGCTGCGCAGTTCTGTATGTATGCGGTTCTTGTACCTTTGTGACACATCCCTCTTTGTTCTAACCACAGTTCATTGAATACGTCACAAGAGCTGAGTCGACACATAACATTAAGCCATAAATCACAAAATAGCTACATTCTCAAATTCTGTGAAACAAAAATCAGGGAATCCACACAATGGCTTAGTATGATACTTGAACCTAGCACAAATCGGTCAGCTTCCTAGGAGCAACTGAGCAGATGTTGTCAAGGTCAACAATAAATACAGTGTCTCATTTGGAGATCTTAATACCGCATTATTTCCTTGGATCTCCTCTCTGCCCTTGTCACTGTGAAGTAAACTTTGCTGAGACGACACAGTAAAATCAATAATCTTTGTGCTTACAACTGTGTTGTCTCTCTGAATGTGCTGGCAGCTAGAGTTCCACACCATGTTACCTCATGGAAATGATGGCAGACCATACTCTGTCTTGTTTTCCACTTCAGGTTTCTTTGCTGATGATAACCTTCTTAGAATAGAGTCACTTGTGCATCAGCACTTGATTTTTGTTTTTGCTCAGTTGAGAAGATAGAGCTAATCTGTATATTACCAGAAAAGTTCAATGCTTCTCTGGGTCAAAAGGCTAATCTCTGGTTGAAAAAAAACCCTATTTAGATATGGTCACAGTCATTATGTTCTAGGCAATTTTCAGAGACTCACCTTTTCTACTTCAGTGGCTTGCACCTGAAACATGAAGACAAAACTGTTGTATTTGCATATTTAAATATTCTTCATGCTGTAGTTATTAGCCATCTTTGGCAAATTTAAGAGTATTGTGCTGATGTTCCAGCATTAAAGAATTCTAAAAAATGGTTAAGACCTTAATCAGAGCTAAAGCAAAACAGTATTAAACAACGTAGAGCAAGATGAAAGATCAAAGAAAACAGTAGGTGATTATATAAATCAGCTAAGCTAAAACAATGTTAGAAATCACATGACTTGAAAAGCTTTCCATAACATTTTAAAATGATCATCAAAAATAACATTTTAAGCAAGCATTGACCAGACATCTCTGGGAAGATCAGTTCATGGCTGGAATGCCACTGTGAAAAATCTTTAATTCGTATTCACCCATTCGGTCTGTCTTGGTGAAGTTACTGAAAAAAAAACATTGCATGTAGGATGAATCAGTACTTCAACTCCCAAGAAGTAAATGATTTTCATCCCAACCTAGTTATTTGGGCAGATATCTACAGCCAACTAGACTGAATGAAGATGATGACAAAGCACTTACATAATTCATCCTGACATTTTGGAAGACTACTTATCAGACAAGGCAATTGTTTACAGGCTGGATTACTGCAATGCACACTATTTGGGCTATACTTGAAAGCTATTATTTTTGCTTTCTGCACATAGTGCAGAAATGTAACTGCAAGGCTGGTCAGTGGGACAGATAAATAAGATCAAGTAGCAGTAATCTTGAAAACACTTGGACTAGTGATTGCTTCTGAGCAGCCTGGATCAATCCTTGTATTAGTGCAGACTGTCTTACATCAGGGGTAGGCAACCTTGGCTCTTTTATGACTCGTGGACTTCAACTCCCAGAATTCCTGAGCCAGCCAATCTAGGTTGAAATCAGTGAGGGAGCTTCTGTTCTTCATCCCAAGCAGAAAGTCTTGTCAAACTTTTTTTGTTCTTTTTTAAAAAATATATTTATTACGTTTTATCAATGGAATAAAATATAAAACAAAAAAACCCAGAAAAACATACATCCAACAATAACAACAATAACAAAAATGTGTACAAAAAAGGGGAGAAAAAATGATCTGAACATCCAACATTAAACATAAAAAAACCCCACCCTGCCTGGATGCTGGAAAAAAAAAACCCTGATGACTTCTCCTCCCCTTACATAATGGGTCTGCAAATAGTTATAAACTTTCTTATCCTTATTTAACAAGAAAATATATAGACAAATATTTCAGGTGAGCAATTCTCTATCTAATAATCGAAACACTTCCAACATCTAATATGAAAGAAAAAAATTAAAAAAAACAACAGTCAGCAGGTTAGCCCCAATATTACACTACTCTTCAAATCCCTCTGTTAACCATCTGTTGTTGTATTTAACACATATAAAGTCCACAAACAGTTTCCAGTCTTTTATAAAGCTGTCTAGTCTATTATCCCTAATCAAGACAGTTAATTTCACCATTTCAGAGAACTTTTTTTGGTCTTGAATTTGGCTTTTTCAGGCCTCTTTAGATTCCCTCTTCTATAATTCAGTTCCCTCAGTTGCTTGTGGACTTCACTTGTATACATTATTGTAACGTGCCCTTCAATCCCTTTATCTGCTTAAAAGAAGTAAAAGAGTTTTCTTTTATTCTGATTTCTAGGTCTCATAATAACTTGTTATTTTCCTTTCTCCTTTCAATTTTAGGCAAGCTGCTTGAACTCTTCCTGATCTTGTTAAGCACCTGAGAAGAACATCTAACAAGAAGGCAAAAATTCCACTCAGACTAGTAAACAGTTTCTTCCTTTCATTCTGGACACAAAGACAGAATTTGTAATTGCATTAAGCCATAATATGAGTAATTTGGTTTTGATTTAGTATATCATGTGACCTGTCAATTGTACTTTACAACAGAATTCATGAGTTAATATAATTTTCTAAACAGCAACATAGTTTGTTTCATGCATGAATAAGGACAATATAGTTTGTTCAACAAATCCTGGTTTTAAAATCCTAGTTTTAGCATTACATATGCATACAGCCTCAATAATATGGCTTCAAGATACTCTCAAGTCTACAACATATAAATAATTTACACAGAAAATATTTAGAGAGGACATAGTTGTAGTAAATAATTATGGTAAAACCTGGCATTTAATGAGAAACCAGGATCAAGACTTGTGAGCAAATAAGTTGTGAAGTGCCAGGAAAATCAGGAGATTCAGGCAGTTCAAATGAGTATAAAGATTTATTGCAAGCTTAAGTTCTCTGCAAGAATATGAACTACTAATGGTCAAAGGAAATTAGCAGGAGTTAAGAAAGGAATTCGAGATAGGCTGGACTTATATATCTTGTAGGCATGCAGGGACTCGTGACTGATGACATGTTTGACTCCTCCCTTGGGCTCAGCCTGGTCATCTCCTACAGAAATATATAACATTTCTAAATATCACCATCTCACTTCTTCTTATGCATATACATGTTAATACATTTGTATTCATGTTCTGTTTGTTTCTAATGCTGCCTTACTTCCAGACCTCTGTTATTTAAAAGTTTTAGCAAACCTGGAGTATGTTTGTCTTATTTATGCAGTTGTTACCCTGTTGGTTTTTGCTGTCTGTAATAATAATAATAATAATAATAATAATAAATAACAACAACAACAACAACAACGATGATGATGATGATGATGTTGGAAGAGACCTTGGAGGTCATCTAGTCCAGCCCCCTGCTCAGGCAGGAAACCCTATACCATTTCAGACAAATGGCTGTCCAGTCTCTTTTCAAAAACTTCCAGTGTTGGAACATTCACAGCTTCTGGAGGTAGGTTGTTCCATTGATTAATTGTTCTATCTATCTATCTATCTATCTATCTATCTATCTATCTATCTATCTATCTATCATGGATGATATCTTTCATTCACTCATCTAAATTTATAATGAGATTGAAGAACTAGGCAGGTGAGAATTTAGCAAATAGATTGCTTGATATATTCTTACTGATCCTAATCTTTTGACATTTTAATAAGTTCAAAACTGAATCTTCAGGATAACCATAACTTTATTAATATTTAATTTAGAAATGCACAGTCCCATATATCAAATACAATACTCTTGTCTATTCATGGCAATACAAGGATTCCACTTCATTTCTTAATAATCTGTATTTCAGAAACACACATATCAGCATACAATGAGGAATCTACTGTGGACTGAAATCAGACATATAAAATGGATCTGGATTATTTTGTAATCTAATGCAGCCTATAAAAATGAAATAAATATTAGGATGTGCAAAGTGACTGCAATTTTCTTGACAAGATATTTCATACCATGAAACCAATATTGTTTATCATATTGTATATCATCACAGGAAAGTCTTATCCCTCTGTTCTACAAGCTAAAAGAAACTATTGCCTTTACTGATTCAACTGCTGGAAAAGATTTAAATATGATACCAAGCAATGCTGTCACATCATTTTTAGAAGCTAGTGGCCATATTATTTCATAAGGAAATTTTGGAGGAGTGCTTTGTAAAAGGCTTTGTTCTGGCAAAGTAACTCTTTGAAACTTGGATGGGCAGGCTAAGTACAGATTCAAACATTAGCTGGCTTCTCAGAAGATATAGTGTGGCCTATTGTACTCTAGCTCAATACAATGTGTGAACTCAGACATTGTGCTTTGTAAACAATTTGAATTTGACATTATCAATGGATAGCTGAACTCTGCTAAGGTAGACCATTATCAACCACTTATGTATCATTGCACAAAAAATTAGATGGAGGTGCCCAGCGTATTTCTAGAAGTTAAGATTGTCTCAGAGACTTGAGGTGTTTTTTTAACCATACTTTAAGAAACCAGAAACATTGAAATATATACTACCTCTGATCAGCTCAAAAATGGTTTAAAAAAAAAGCATTGGTGTTTGCATTGAAAGCTTTGAAAGGTCGATGGAAATTCCATAAAGAATTATGAAACCAAATGATACAGAACAAGTTTGAGGAGATTACATCTAAAGATAATTGCAACCATTTGCTCTCTCTGTAGAAGTTTTTCACATCTGTGTATTTACAGATGCATTTTTCTCTCACATATCTTTCTTCTTTAAGCAACAGCACTGGCAACTTAAAGAGAAAATCAATAGCAAGCTCCTAAAAGAATTATTAATCTAGGTTTTTTTTAAAATTATAATGCTTTGTACAGTATAAAAAGAACCTGAGGATCAAATTAATAGTGTTCTAGTATTTTAGGTAGTACTGATCATTAGAATGAATTCATAACATGGCTATAACTGTTAACTGTTTTATAACTACCGGTAGTTATGGCAATTTATTTGTACACAAGTCTTTCCCAACGTTACCCATTTTTCTTTCAAAATCAGCTGCTGCCATCTGGTGTGCATATGTTGGAGCTACACAATAACCTGAAAGAGAAAAAAAAACCCGCTATTCTTCCACAAAGATATTTAAAGTTCTTTCAATAATAAATAAGAATGTCTTATGTCTAAATTGTGGACATTCATTTCCTTTCTGAAGCAGAAAGAAAGTTTAGAGACAATGGAGCTAATGGATTCAAGTCCCCAAGGTCAGATGGATTATATCCCAGGGTACTGGCTGAATCACTCTTGTGGTGATTGTTGTGCTAATCAATGAACCATTCTTGGAATAACTGAGAAGTTCTAGAGGCATGGGAGAGACCCTGAAGAAGAGATGGATTGGTCAATTTATGGTTTGTGTCTTGTCTGCAGACAGCCAGTATTACTTTAAAAATCACTTTAATGTGATAATTTAGGCAATTGTGTTAAGTCATGCTATGAAACAAACGTGCAAATGCAGTTTCCCTTCCCTTCTCTCTTTACACATACAAACACACACACACACACTTAATAAAGAATCTTTATATATGCATGTATGTAAACAAATGGTTATTAAACCATTCTTTATCACCTGGAATTTCCAGGACCAGCCAATAAGTGACAATTTGGTCTAGTGATTTATTTATTTATTTATTTATTTATGAGACTTATATACCGCTTTAAGTGCAAGCACTCTCTAAGCGGTGTACACCAGTAAGCAATGTATATATATATTTACATTGCCCCCAACAATCTGGGTCCTCAGTTTACCTACCCCGGAAGGATGGAAGGCTGAGTCAACCTTGAGCCGGTGAGATTTGAACTGCTGACCTGCTGAACACAGTCAGCTAAAGTGGCCTGCAGTACTGCACTCTAACTGCTGCGCCACCTGCGCCACCTCGGCTCATTAAGGTACTAGGCTAGAAAGCCAAAGACTGTGAGTTCAAATCCCACCCACTGGCATGAAAGCCAGTTGGGTGCCTTTGGACCTGTCCCTCTCCCTCAGCCCAACTCACTTTACAGGATTGTTGTTGTGGGGAAAATAGGAGTATGAAGATGTGTTGGATATGATTTATTTGTAAAAATAATAAAGGCAGAATATAAATAAGCAAAATAAATAATTAGCTAGGGAAGATGGACATTATGCAGTAGTCCACGCATACTGAGAAGACACCAATTTGAAGAACGGTATTTTATAGATTTATAGTTAAAGTCCCTAAACAAATAGAAAACTTATACCATATGTACGCAAAGAAAGCAAACACATATCCGCTGTAAGCATGGCCAGAAGGGTGATGCAGATTGGAGTGAAGCAAAGTTACTTATATAACTATGGCCTCAACATGTTTTCAGATTGTAAAATTGTCCTTGAAAAACACTCAGAAACTTCCATTGGTATAAAATGTATCAGCACATGCAGTTTTGGACACACCGAGTTTTCCTTGCCTTACACCTCTGGCTACACTGGCTCCCATATGTCTTTTTATTTATTTATTAAATTTATATGCTACCCATCTCACTATCCAAGGTGACTTTTTGGCATGTGTATGTTTTATGTGCAATTCAAGGTGCAGGTAATTACTTTGAAAGCCCAGCATAGAACAGGTTACTAAATATTTTTGCACAAAAAAGAAAAATGTTCTCTCAGAGAATCCTTAATTGTGCTACTGTGACAACAAATCACCATTTGTCTGCATTTTATGATGTCCATGTTAGAATGAGAACTAAGCCTCCCTCAATCCTTTCTTATTACAAAATATACCCAAGTCCTGTGGCTGCTGGGCATCATCAGTTTTCCACGTCTAGCTAAAATCCTCTCTGTCTACTTGCAGTCAGATCTCCAAGGTCCTTTCCTGTCCATAGCCAATTCGCCATGGGAAAATTCATTAGGCCAATTCACCGTGGGACAACTCACCACGGAACAATTTAACAATTTTATTCAATTATTTAATATAATTTAAAAAATATTTTGATTTTTGACATTCATGTTTCATTTTGTCCTTCCTTTTGCATCCTTTCTTTAATTATTCTATTTCACCTTTTCTTTGATATTATGTAACCTTTGTCCCATGTCAAGTTGGCCATGATGAATTGTCCTCTAGTGAGTTGGCCATGGCAAGTTGGCTGCGGTGAATTGGCTCCTACCCTATCATTCTAGTCTATTTTGAAATATTTCCACTAGGTGGCTTTTAAACTTGCTTCTGGGATTATTTGCTGGACTGATGAGAGATTGAGTATGTAGGTCTTAAATTTTGCAGCTGCTAGTCCTATGGATTGGGTAATACAAAAAGTATTGAATGTGGGAGTGTGGAACGTGAGAGCATAAGGCTGGGTCACTTTCTAGAGCAGTGGTGGCGAACCTATGGCACGGGTGCCAGAGGCAGCACTCAGAGCCCTCTCTGTGGGCATGCGCGCCATTGCCCCAGTCTTAGACCTTCAGCTGGGTTTTATAAAACCTTTTTGCTGTAGGTCTCCGCCATGTACAAAAAAAAAGGTTCAATCAATCAGTCAATTTCAACTTCTCGCTGGAAAAAAAAGATCTTGCAAAGTTGGAATTGATTGATTGAACTTTTTAGTCCCATCAAGTCTGCCATTACCACCGCAGCCACGCCCACCTAATGGGCCACACCCACCCAATGGGTCACACCCACCCGGCACCCGACAATGCATAAGAGGATTTTGGGTTACAGTTTGGGCACTCGGTCTCTAAAAGGTTCGCCATCACTGTTCTAGAGCAAGGCTGTTCTATTCCTGCTGGGCGCAGTATGTAGAAGTAGTGTGGTGAAATTACAGCTGATGGTTGATGGTTGAATAGTTGGCTGGTTAAATGATACTCAGATACAGAAAAAGGGGGTGCTGGGAATGAAGATTGATGGGGAAGACAAAAATGTAATCCTTGACTTATGACCATAATTGAGCCCCAGATTTTTGTTGCTAAACAAGGCAATTGAGTTGTGTCTTTTTTTATGACACTTTTGCCACAGTTAAGGGAATCATTGAACTTGTTAAGTGAATCATGAAGTCATTAAGTGAATCTGGCTTCCCCCATTGACTTTGCTTGTTGGAAGCTGGCTGGCAAGGTGACATATGGTGACAATGGGGATGATGAAACGGTCATGCGAAAAACAGTCATAAGTCACTTTTTTTCAGTGCTGTTGTAACTTTGAACGATCACTAAATGAATGGGTTGTTAAGTTGAGGACTACCTGTAGTGCAAATCTGGTGATAGGCTGTTCTTGGGGAATGAAGAAATAGTGCTTGAAATTGATGCCACATTCCAGACCCCAGTGTTCAGCCACTGACGTCAAATGTCTGTATCCTTGCCAGAGGTTGTGAGTTTGGTTAATTAAGTCACAACGTGCTTTCCATTCATTTTGAGGTGGAATTGTAAAACATTGCAGTCTAACACTGCTAAGAAAACTGCACTGAAGCACAGACATTGGGGTGGGGTGGGGAGTGACAAAATGTGTGTCATGTCATCATGCAAATTTTGCTCACTTATAAACTTGCAGGTGATTTTAAGAGACACAAAAATAAGGGCAATATTTATTTACTATTATTTATTTATTAAATTTATATGCCACCCATCTCCCCTTTAAGGCAACTCTGGGCAGCTAATGTATGCTATCACATCATCAAGTGCGTGTAACAATTTTTCCACCATCATGGTTAGTTGTCATTATCTTGCTTGCCATCAAGCGAGGAATCAAACTTACAGGCTTCTTTCACTTTTCTAAGCCTACTCCCCCAAAACTAATATCCCTCCCTTCAGAAAAAATTCAAATTTTTCCTTTTGTTTCACCATCGTCCTAAGCATAAAAAAAGATGTTAGATGCACTGTCTGTCATCTAACAATTGACAGAACTAACAGAAACGTTTGTTAATCTCCTAAACCATTGACTTAGGTTCTGTATTGCCTAACTAGCTCCACCCTGCTGCTCCCGTTTTAGTAAAGGAGCCAAGAACATTAAAATTCTGTTCTCAACATTGCACCTATTGTCACTCTGACTAGCATTAATCACCTCAATGTAGACTTATATCCTAATTTAATCTGGCATTTCATAAGAACAAGGCTATCCTGTTTCAAACCTCTTTTAAGGCACGCACACATTTGCATGGATAGATATTTTAGATCTGAAAATAGGGCACAAAATCAGGTATTGCAAATAAAAGTGAAACTATAGACATGTTTGCATAGCTTGGTTTGCCCACAATAGCCTGGGGCCCCCATTCCAGCTCTGAAGTCAAGCCACATGTGTACAGATTTTGACATATCTGCAAATCCCCTCTTGAAATCCAGCCACTTCTCAATTTTAAGAAAAGGTGAATAGTTCAAGCCAAATGTATAAGATGGTATGTTTCAATTTTCCATTCATAAAAGGAACCTTTCTCCTTCTCCTCCGGCATTTCCAGATAATATTTCCACCAGCATATTTACAAATGAAACATATCCAAGAAGTCAACAAGTATCTCTTGTTCTAAGTCTTTAAACAATTGATATTTAGGAGTAAAATTTTAAACCTTGAGGTGTTATTTAACAACTATTATTAAAAGCTGTTAATAGATATTACTTTCCAGTATTTCTCCAAGGCTTCTGCAGTCACTTGGGATGGCCTTATTAACACCTTATCTCACCTAGCATCCTCCAGAAATCCAGCTCACCCATATAAACCATCCAGACTGTGCCAGATGGGTGGCATCTGCCTTACAATGGGGCAATGAATTCTGTAAGCAGAATCAATATCTTTGTAGCTATATTCCCTTCCTTCCTTCCTTCCTTCCTTCCTTCCTTCCTTCCTTCCTTCCTTCCTTCCTTCCTTTCCTTTCCTTTCCTTTCCTTTCCTTTCCTTTCCTTCTTTCTCTCCCTACTGTCAGTCAATTCTAAGAACCAAACTTATATGATCAATAAAACTCTCTTTTATCTTTTTCTAAATGTTTGGCTTGATTGTAGATTAGAAGTGTTTAATATGGAATATAAATGGAGCAAATCCTCCTCAAAAGAGAGAAAAATATTTCATTATTTGAAAAAAATTAAAACAAGATATAACTTGCCTACCACAGTACCAGAA